GGGGAGGTTATATGCCAGATTTTCTATTCCTCTCCAGGGATAAACAGTTATGTAAATTAAACCTACAGATAACAGTTACAACAGTTACAGATAAGAGTTACAACTTCATTTGCAGGTGCCCCCAAGGAAAAGGAAACAAAGCCTGCTCTGCTGGAGGTCTACTAAAAGTGACTGAGACCACTTGAGCCAAAGGCACTATGAGGAAGATGATCAAGTTATCTCAACCAAGACTTTGTTTAGGGAGGAAATGGCTTGTCCCAGGAAGAATATATCCTCCTGTGTGTATATATGTGAATGCAAGACCAAGTGATTCTGCAACCTGTACACTCAGAAAATTGAGATATTATATCCCGTCTGATTCAAATGTGTGATATGTCAAGGTCATTGTACTGTCATGTGTAACTGATTAAATCAGATTTAAAAAAAAAGAAAGGCATTAATGGGGATCCAGTCTCTTCTGGACAATTAAAAAACAAAAAGAATTGAGTCCGATTTGCCAGATACCCTAAATATATGTAAATATAGATAGATAGATAGATACATACATACATACATACATACATACATACATACATACATAAAAGCTTAGGGGAACACTTTACCAAGCTAGTGTTCTCCAAATTAAAGTGGCAATCTCCTACAGATTTATATAGAAATAACAATTTTAACTGGGGTTTATTTATGTCAATTAATGTTCTGTAGATGGATAAACGTAACCTTTAATCAGTAATGTATATATAAAATTTTGTGTTACTTTTTAACATTGGAGTGGAAATTTCAAAGTATTTTAAAAGATAATAAGGAGAACCTGATTTGTTTAAAGGTTGAGATTGTTTAAAGGTTGAGATTGCCACTTTTTCCACAAAAAGTAATTCAGGAACTCTCTTGGTTTTTGTATTTCAGATGTGATGTTGTATTGTGTTATTTGTCAAAAGCTCCACCTTACCTGAGATAAGGCTCCACCTCTCACCCTACTTCATGTTAGAATGAATCCAAAGAAGGTTAGACTTAAGCTCATTTAAAGTTATATTCAAAAGATAATTTTTTAATACTTTTTTTTTTTGTCAATTTTCAGTGGACCTTTATTTTATTTATTTATATGTGGTGCTGAGGATCAAACCCAGTGCCTCACACATGCTGGGCAAGCGCTCTACCACTGAGCCACAACCCCAGCCCAAAAGATGGATTTTTGTTGTGAAGACTACTGAGATCTCAAAATAAACAAAGGATATAACACAAAACGAAGCAAAGGTTTAGATAAATTACAAAAGGTATGTAAGATTGTAAAATAGTTTTAAAAGAAGGCAAAATTTGTAAAGAATCTCATATGTGATTGAGTTGA